GCACTTTCAAATGTTACTAAACTAAGAAAATGTTGTAGTGGCAGTTTTAAACCATGATTCATTCCAGCATAAAAAAAAAATTGAAACTACAAAATTTTACAGTTTTCACCGCCTATAATTAAAACTCGAAAACAACTTGTTCAGAACTTGAAAATTTTCTCCATTAAACAGAAAAAGAAAAGTGTATAGCAGAGAAAATGTAGAAAAATTAAGAAATCGAACGAGAGAAGTAGATATAGAGATAGGATTGTACTCCGGTAACTATTTTTATTTAGATCTATATGGAGCTAAGTAGATCTACTCATCTTTTTCGTCAGAAACATATCTTTTTCACCGTCGATGAGGGTGAAGTAAGGAGTCGACGGTCGGTGGTTGCCGGTGGATCCCAATTGATGGTAGTTGTCAGTCGTCGATGACTATATATCGGAAAGAGAAAGAGAAGAAGCAAGATATGGTTGTCCGTCGACGATAGCCAGAAATCACAAAGAACAAAAAAGACAGAGAAAAAGAAAAATATTATAAGACTTTTGAGTATAAACAAAAGGTTATGAGACTAAATAAGATACATATTTTTCAAAGAAGACTTCTTAGTAATTTGTCCTAAAAAGAGTTTTTGATTTTTCAAATAAATGAATGTTCTATTAATCTAAAAAAATAAAATAAATAAATGTTCTAATCCTAGTATTTTGAAAGTATTCCTTAGTTTTTAGCCACAAAATTATTTTGATCAAAATTAGAAACTTTATAAATAGGTACAACAACGCCGTACTATCTCATTTAATGTCATTGGATAATAAAGTAAAATAAAATATCGTAGGTGAAATAAAGGATGCTGTTACATACATCGAATAGTGTATTAATTAGTGTATTAATACTAATTATCATATTACTATTAACTCTATTCATTATACAAATTATAAATATTAAAAATATCTTAAATTATGTCATATCATCAATTAATATATTAATTAGTATACTAATTGATACATATAGTATTAATCTGAAATAAATGGACAAATCTGATTTCTTATTAACCCAGTCTTGTAGTTTCCCTATGTATTACAATATTTAAAGTTTTATTGACTAAGACCATCTCCAACGCTGAACCAAACCCAGCATCAAATTTAAATTTTGATGAAAAACCCACTTTTTCACGCTCCAACGGTTGCACCAAAGTTATACCAAAATGAGAATTCAGCAAACAAGACATCAAACTGAGATCAAGACACAGATTTTACCAAATCACTGTTACTGACCGTTGAAAATGCTACACCGGTCGACCAACCGGTTGCCCGGCCGGTTGACCAACCGGTCAACCAGTAAAAGATTCAAACAGTTCAGAAAAAATAGTTCAAACCGTTAAAAAAAAAAAAAAAAAATTTTTTTGCCTAACCGGTCAACCGGCCGGTTGACCGGCCGGTCGACCACCCCGGTTGTCCCGAAAAAAGTTCAGAAAGTTCAAAAAAAGTTCAGACAATTCGCAAAAAAAAAAAAAAAAAAATTTTTTTTGGCCTAACCGGTCAACCGGCCGGTCAACCGGCCGGTCGACCACCCGGTTGTCCCGGGATAGATTTGGTGAAGGTGAACCGTTGGAGCCTGAAGTATCAAATTCAGGAAATGGCCATTTTTGAACTCAGAATTGGTGAAATTTTTGATTCACGGTTGGAGATGCTCTAATGATACATATCACTAAAATGGTTGAACATAATCTTCTAATACAAGTCGAGTAAGATGTCAAAATAATAAGGGTAACTTATCGGTAAATTTTAATAGTTAGATTTAATTTTTATCAAATTTTATTGAAAATAAATTATAGTAAAATTATCGTTAAAAATATTTTTTTTGTGATATTTTTTTGTATATATTGCTAAAATTTAATCATTAGTGACTTTTTTTGTTACGCTTTTTATAGATTGTCACTAAAATTTTTGTTACGTTTTTCTATGAAGAATTTTCAAATTATCACTAAACGTTAAAAATTAGTGACATTTTTTGATACGATATTTTTAAACTGTCTCTAAAATTTATAATTAGTGATATTTTTTGTAATAAAAATGTTAAACTGTCACTGAAATTTAATAATTAGTGCTATTTTTTAATAATATTTTTCTTTAATAAAAAATATTATTAATTATCATAATATCTATTAAACAATAAATTCACATATTAAAACTTAGATATAAATCTCCCAAAATAATAAACTAGATCAGCAACTAAAAATTAGAAAAGTAGAGAATGAAAAGCCGAGAAGTCATTCATATTTAAAGAAGAATTTTAAAAGGGGTAGCTAGTAAAAATGGGAGGGTCACTAGTTTATGCTAGTGATTAGTGATTGGCTGGTGGTATACGCCCCGTAGTGCGCCTAGGACACCGAATAATTTTTTATGCAAAACATAGATAAACTGAGTTTTTTTTTCATAATATCTAAAAGAAAATTAAACTATTTAAAGAAACAACACACTTTTTAAACTATTTTACAAATTAATCTATTTTTTGAAATTACATTTTCAAAATATAATTTGATGACAAAATCGCATTTTCAAAAATGATGGCATGCCCATATGAAATTGCCAACGTAACTATATTGAAATCTCATTTTAAAAATGCAAGTTTACCTTAAAGTTGCATTTTCAAAACGCAATTTCAACACGGTCATCAAATTCAATTTTCAAAACACAATTTCAACATTAATGCAAAAATGATGTTTTAATACTATTTTGAGCTGTGATTTCAACATAAGATTGGGTATGTCATTTTGAAAATGAAAAAAATAAGAGTGGATATCACATTTTGAAAATGAGATTTTAGTTAAATCGATTTTCAAGAAATCTTAGGGAATGTTTGGCATGCGCTAAAGTAGCACATTATCCTATTTTGATCACAATCATCTTATTTGAGTCATATCACCTCTCTACCACATCACTTCAAACCCAATCTATATTTCACTTTTTTTTTTCTTTTTTTTTTTTCCATATAAAGTCAAAAACTATGCTTATTTAGATAATCCCAAATACCCACTTAATTTAGAAAATAAGATTTTACTGAATCACAATTTAAAAAAGTAAAATAATGAAATTTCAATGTCAAAATATAATTCTATGCCTCCGTTTGGGAAGGTAAGGTTTGGGGCTTTTTTGATTAAAATAGTCATAAAAAAACAAAATAGGCTTTTTAGTCTAATAAAACAAAACATCACATCTAATCCATAATCATTACATTCTTTCTCTCACAAAAGTCAAAAAAACCAAAAAATTCATCCTAAATAAGATTTTTTAGTTTCAGACTAAAACAATCAAAAAAATTAAAGCCTCTTTTGGCTACTTGGTTTTTAGTAACTTTTTTTAGTTTGTAGCAAAAGCTAAAAGTTAGTTTTTTTGTATTTAAAGACATTTGAAAAATTGGTTTTCAGCCACTGGTGAAATTACAATTCTACCTCTCATGGGTCAAAATATGCTACATCGGTGAAATTGTAAATATTTTAAATTGAATTGAGGTAGTTTGGTTATTTTATTATGATTTGACATCATAAACAAATATTAATCAAAAAAGCCAAAAAATAACTTTTTACTAACTTTCCAAATCACTTGTTTAAAAAAGACAAAAGCTTGGTTAAAAGCCAAAAAATTTGTTATCTTAACTATTTAATGAACTCACATTTATGTACTGAATAAAATTTTGCTATCTTAAATTTTTTTCAACATAGAATCGCATACCAACTCTGTTTTGAGAATTTGATTTCTACAAAATATGTATATATACATATATATTAAAAAAAATTAAAAACCTTGAAACTAATTTAGTAAAAAAATGAAAAATAAAAACACTCATTACTTTGACATGATTTTATCTTTTTTAAGAGTGCAAATAATTTTTAAAAATAATATTTTTTTTATTTTTGTCAAATTAATTTTTATTTCTTAAAAAAATAATAATAAAAGCATATTCTGAAATTAAACCAATCATTTTTATTTTGTATTTTGAAATTGTGATCCCAAAAAATTATGTTTCCCAAATTACGATTTCTTAAAAATTCACTTAAAATGCAATTTAACTGAAATCTCCTTTTTATGAAATGCAGTGGACTCCACACTCAATTATGAGCAAGTCATAGAAAATGTGGTCGAAAATATTGTTGTATTTATTTCTATAGAAAATTCTAACTATACAAAATTTGATTGGCCTATTTTGGGAAGAAATAATAAAAAAAAATTAAAAAAAAACTTGCTTTTGGCTTATTGACACCATATTAAAATAATTTTTTTTTTAAAAAAAGTTACTTATTTCTATTTTCCCTAATGATTTTATGAATAAGCCAAAAAACAAGAAAATAAGCAAAAAATTTGCTTATCCCTCTTCTCAAAATAGGTCAAAATTGAACCCAAAAACGGTTGTGTCTGATTTTGTAAGTGGATTTGTTGTAGAATAACCAAATTCTTTGTGATTAAAGAGTAGATGCAATGAAGAAAATTATACGTTTGAAAACTCACTGATTCAACAAAGTACCAAGACTTTGGAATATTGAGTCTACGGTTATTTAATTTCGATGTAAAATTGTGTATATACTTCGAAACTCACTTATCAAGAATTCATTTTCCTCACAACCAACCATTGCTATGGCTGTTTCCAACTCATGGAACTCTCCCCTCCAATCACATATTTTGTTTTGTTCTGTTTTCTTCTACTTTGTGATCACCCTTTACTACTTCCCTCTTCATGCAAATGCACTGAGCTTCAACCTCACCAATACTAATCAAATGTCTAAAGATGTTGTCCTACAAGGATATGCTAATGTTTCCAACAAAGGCATCGAAATCACTCCTAAAAAACAAGAGTTGATAGCCGGTCGAGCCTCATATAAAGATCCTCTTCACCTTTGGGACAAAGCTTCTGGAAAACTGACGGACTTCAACACCTATTTCTTGTTTGTCATTGATTCACAAGGAAACTCTTGCATTCTTCCTTCTTCCTTATAATTTTCCAATCTTGCAACAGGTGCAGCCATGGGTCTTCCAATCTTGTCAATCGACCCCCCCAAATCGACTCCATTTGTTGCTGTAGAGTTTGATACCTATCAAAATCTGGGTTGGGATCCACCCAGCATCACACCTGGAACTCATGTAGGTATCGATACAAACTCTATCACATCTAATGCCACTGAAATATGATACAATAACATAACGTATGGAAAAGAGAATGAAGCTTGGATTAGTTATGATTCTAGTTCGAAAAAATTGAGTGTTGTTTTCAATGGATTAAAAAACAATAGCAAAATTAACAGTTCCCTTAGTTTGTCGGTTGATCAAAGGGACTCTTACCAGAATTGGTTACAATTGGCTTCTCAGCTGCAACAAGAGGTTCGTACGAGAAACATACTGTCAAATCATGGTCGTTCAATTCGAGTTTGCAAATCGGTGTGCCAGGCAGTCCTTCCTAGTCCCAGTCCTAGTCCTAGTCCCAGTACCAATCCCAGTCCCACACCGAAATCCAATCCCAGCACCAGTCCTAGTCCTAGTTCTAGTCCTAGTACCAATCCCAGTCCCACACCGAAATCCAATCCCAGCACCAGTCCTAGTCCTAGTCCTAGTTCTAGTCCTAGTACCAATCCCAGTCCCACAGCGAAATCAAGTCCCAGCACCAATTCCAGTCCAAGCCCCAATGCAGTTAACTCTGGTATTGGAAAGAAGACGAGTGGTGGGATTGACTATCAGATTATCTTCTTTGGCTGGTTGGTTGGCTTTGCTTGGCTTTATATTGTGGGAAAGTAGAGCAAAAGAAGAAGATGAATGTCTGGGTAAAAGTTGATATCTAGAGCATTGACCTTTACAATCCATGATTTTGCTTATCGATTAGAGAATATCAATGAACTTTTATAGAGGGTTTGTTGGTTGATGTATGTTTTTTTTTGTTTTGATTTGTTTTGTTTGTTGTTGCTTTTCTAGTGTCGTCAGTTTGGCTACTTCTTGTCATTTGTTTTCTTTTCTTTTTTCCATTGTTGATGCTAGTTGTTGCTTTCTTGTCAACTCTTTGCTCTGTCTAGTTGGGTGTTTGCAAATAATTCACTCATCAATGCCAACCTAGTTGAGATAAGAAGATTTAGTTATAAAACGTGATGTATAGATAAACATAGATAATACAATATACATAGGACATAAAACAAAATTAGTAATAAGTACTCGGCGACAACATATATATATATATATATATATAATCAATAACACAGTAAACACAAGAGTTATAATGAAATGGCAAAAATAAACAAAAACAAGTGATAAATATTTGGTAGGACTGACTGACTCACCAATACACTTTTTATAACAGTAGCAAAACTCAACCCATATACAGGACTAGCTTCATATCCAAAGGAAATTCAATCTTTCTCCTCCAATAAATATTATATCTCTATATTACTATATTTGCATATGAACCTAAAAGTTGCAGCTTGCATTATACTTTCAAATGGTATCCTCACCTCATCTAAAAAGAAAAAAGGAAATTTGAATATATATATATATACACTGTAAACCTAATGAATTTATGAAATTAATTGGTGTTTATCAAATATCATGGAATCTAGATTCGTGTAATAAAATTAACAAACCAATCAAACACAATACAACATGCATATAGCACAAATCAATCAAATACACTTTTAGCATTCAATCAACAAAGCAGCCAGAAAACTTTACAGAAGCGATGCGATGAGGGGGGCCGCTGGCGATGGTCGGGGAGTGAGGTTTAGGGTTTAGATTTTTTGGATTTGCGCAATTAATAATGAAGATGAGGATATAATAATTGTTAATTTTTTTATTTTAATTTCATTTTTTTTTTTTAAGAGGGATGACTAGACTTGTGTATTGATCATAAAAAGACTATTAATTTATAAGTGCTTTGAGAGTTTCTTTACCCAATAAATAAATGGCCAAATAATTTGGCCTCCCAAAAAAATAAAACAATTTAGCTATTCATCAAATATCATAAAGTCATACAAATATAATCCGTTTTTAAAATGAAAATATAATTTTACCTACAATAACATGATATTTGTATCTCAATTTTTAATTTATCAAAAATTTAACTATGTAATGCTTAACTAATTCTTACCACACCTTTGTGATAAATTATGAGTTTTTAATATTCCTCGTTTTTAATTGACTGAGAAATTAATATAGTTTGATAGATTATTATTACTATAAGGTATATCAATGAGGGAGGCGGTATTGAGAGGTAATGGGGTATGTGGTGAAGATCATGGGTGGCGTGGTGGGAAGGGAGAGTGGTGAGTTAGAAGAAATTATTTAGTAGGTTCGGTGTACCACATAGGGACAGATCTAGAATTTTCATATAAGGGGAGTGAAAATAGAAAAATGGTTGAGAGCTCTAAATTAAGAGCTCTAATGTGTGTATGGGTCCCACATGATGTAATGTTTTGGTCTTTTGTGTGTGTGTGTGTTTTATATATATATATATATATATATATATTTCAGCTCACTAGAACTAATTTAGAGCTCAAAATTTAGGAAGATGTATCATTGTTGGTGAAAATATATATACTAACAAAAATTTTAAATAAAAATATAGATTGCAATATCAATTTTCTACCAACATAAAAAATCGAAAATAAGATGAAACACATACAAATAAGTTGTTACCCAGAAAGCAACCCAACAGGGGAGTGAATTGAGTTTCTAAATAAATTGTCAAATTAAAAAATATTCCCAAATAATAAACAATTAACAATATGAAATAGTAAAGGTGAGTAATAAATTAAAATTTAATCTAAATGAGAAATAAATATGAAGCAATATAAATGAGACAATAAAAATAAATTAAGTGAAGGAACGAAAGAGAGAGCAAATACTAAATTTATAGTAGTTCGGCTCAAACCAAACCTATGTCCACTCCAGATCCTCCTTGAGATTTTTTCACTATTCGTCAAATAAAAATTGCACTCCTAGCTTTACAGGTGCTAGTGAACCTTAATAATTGATCAACCCCGATCACTTTAACCAACTAGTTGTGAATCCGATGCTAGTCACACCTACCTCAAATGATTTTATCTAAAAAAATCACACACAAAAAATATAACTCTCTTTTACAAGAAAAAATGATAAGGGATTGGAAACCCTTTTACAATAAAAGCTCAAATACTCAACAAATTTCTCTCAAAGAAATTATATAGCTCAATGAAAATGCACAACACAATGTTTTAAGAATTCTTGAATATCACCCACAATTTTTCGGAATTTGGGTCACTGCTGTGCTAAAGGCACAACACTGTTGTGCCTCAATTTGAGGTGTATTGTAACGCCCTAAAAAAAAAACATAAAACCCATTGATATAGACATGCATTGGTAATAAAGATAAACATTCTTTTATTCATCAGAGTAGTTCCTTACAAAAGTATTACATGTTAACAATAAAAGCAAATGCCCTACGGGCTTACATCACTGCTGTGCTAAAGGCACAACACTGTTGTGCCTCAATTTGAGGTGTATTGTAATGCCCTAAAAAAAAAAACATAAAACCCATTGATATAGACATGCATTGGTAATAAAGATAAACATTCTTTTATTCATTAGAGTAGTTCTTTACACAAGTATTACATGTTAATCAACAAAAGCAAATGCCCTACGGGCTTACAACTTTCTAAGTTAACACTTGGTTACAACAAAAGAGTGCTAACTCATTTACACATTAAGCCCTTGGCTTGAATATACATGTAATACATCAAAAAAAA